GTGTACCCATATATATGACAAGTCTTGTCTTGGATGCTGCTAGAATCACTATCAGGGGAACACAGATTAAAAACAAAAACGTAATCCTCTTGTGTTTATTGCTCGATGTGTGATACATATGATAGGTGCTTTGCATTGTGTTAAAACGTGCAAATTTATTGTAAAACACACACCGCAGTATGCTCGACACCCATTTATCTCCGGCAAGTTTACATTCGCCCGTTACTGGGTGCATTTTTAATTGAAAGAAACGCGTTGAAAAGAAATGCGGATGCAGCAGTCTCAAGTCGAAGCGAGACAACAAGAAAGCAGCCGAAACAGTTTTGCAGTGGCTGTGTGAGCATGAGAGGGAGGCGCAGAGCGAGTGTACGTGTGGTCGGCTGGTGGATGATGCACTGTAACTGCGGTAATGCTGCTAACAGGCTCTTCCCGATGCTGCATAGTTTTAAACCACAGTATGGCCACTGCTGCTTTAATGCTTCCACGGTTAATGGGCAATTCATAGGGCCGACTCCAAACTCTCTCTCTCTCTCTTTCTCTTCCTGGCTTGAGGCTCATTAGTGGCGACAGCAGCACTGTTGACCCTTGAGCCTTCCCCCATGTCTCCCCTTTATTTTTTTCCCCCTCTCCCCATCGCCCATCTTCCCTTTCTTTCCCCCCCATCATCATTCACCCAGCAAGACTTTGGCAGGGGTCTACGTGCATGAGTACGAGTGTGTGCGTTGCCAGAGGCCAGTCTGTGCCGGTGTACAGCAGAGGTCTTTGGTAAGGACAACACAGGGGACTCTGTCCTTGTCTAACCCCCTGCAAATAGAACAAAGGTGTGTGTGTGTGTGTAATAATGCTATGTACAGTGTCCTGAGTATGAGCTATAGCTGGTAATAATAATAGCGTGGTCAGAGGTCCAGTGGGCCGACAGGGACAAGCTACACGGGGCCTATAAAAGCACTAATAAAAGACTACAGCGGGTCACCTTATGTTGGGCACGGAGTAAAGGATTATTACTCCGATTTGCATTAATGCCGGATCATCATCCAGGTGATGATGCTAAATTGGAATTTTAACCTGGAAAATCCGCGACAAACCACCGAAGACGGCGATGTCCTTTGTGCGCAGATGGAAGTGAGATGTCGGCGGCGGCGAGCGGACGCAGCGAATGGCTCTTTGAAAAATTACCTGAGTCATGCAGCCGGTGATTGCAGCATGATTTATTCAAGTACTAAAATCAAGGCCTGATAAGATGAACATTAGTTTTTATTTATTTATTTTTTATGATGGGGTATCTAAACTGTCCCGAGCAAAAATATGACGAATGGCCAGCAGCTAATCAAAGCCTTTTTTAGAGTATGGCTCCGTATTGAATATCAATAATTTATCGGTATTGACCGAAATGTGTCGGCAGTTTGAAAAGTCAAGCTGCTGCTGTATGTGTAGCTATTTTAGGACTGCTTAAACTGATGGACATGTGAGAGAAAAAAATAAAGTTTCTGTCTTATTTTAAGGCATGAAGCTCAGCTCTCTATCTATCAGTACACATCGTTTAATAATGACAATACTTCTCAGTGAGGGGAGGAAGAGGTGTCGTATAAACAACCATGTTTGGTTCAGAAGTGATCGGACGTCTAACTTTTGATGCTGTTCTAAATGCTGAGCGAAGCAATAATGAGTGGAAATGATGAGAGAAAACGTTTCATCGCCTTTACAGTTGGACTACAAGATGCATCCGTCCAGCATCCACTATTTTGATGCATAATATTCACACTGCAGCAGGTGTGATGTGAAGTAAGACCAATTAACTCAAATGCACAACTTGTGTTGGTCCCTAACAGCAAACAAATCCAACAAAAAACAAAAACCATTCTCCATTATCTACAATCTGTCTGAAGGAAACACAGCATCAGTTGTGCTGCACCAATAATGGAATATTAATCATGATCCTGATGTTGGCCTCTCACAATTAAACAAACATGTTCCATTGCAATGTTAATGCTAAAACACAAAAAGCAAACAGCACAAGTAGATAAAGTCACTTAGCTCCATCTTGGGTGAATCTGACATTAAAACATTTTATTTTTTGTTCTAACACCTGGCTGATGTTGACTAATTGTGATCATCCTTTTTGGCCATAAGCATGCAGCCCTAGTCTGGAAATATTTCAGTTATAGAACGGATGATGAGCAAAAAGAAATCCTGCAATTGTTGCCCTGAGACAACATAACAACCTGTTAGCATGACCATTTAGATAAATGCTATACAGCTCTGTATGACGAGAACAAATCCAGATCTGAATGCCGACCCTGAGCACAGAACTATTTTAAACTGATAGATGGGAGAAAGATTTGATTTTTCAGCTTTTTGAAAATTTTCTCTGCAGCTGCACTCCCCTTTAAAACCACCCTCTTCTTTTAAATTATTCAAATCATCTCGTGGAAATTCCTGCTTAGTTTGACATATATATGACACACACATCATGGCATCAGGGATCAGATAAACGTGACCGCAGCTTTGTGTGCGATTTCCACAATTGCATGAGTCAGGAGGGAGCTTTTTCTTAAGCAATAGAAACATCAGCCGGTGTCGCTGTACCTTAAGCTCCCCTGTCGTAGGGCGCAGACCCGGTAAGCTGCTGCTTCCTCAGGCGGTTTACCTGTGTGGCCACAGCTAGAGGGAGAAGTAAAGCCTCCACGTGCAACATGAAGATCTAATCATCTGTATTGAGACTGGAGAGCTGTTTGATCCACCCAAGACTCCTGCAGTGTGAATGGAATCATAATCTGCAGCATGAGTGAATGAAGAATCAGCTTATTATGTCGGGAAGCAGTGTCACTTTCCAAAAAAAAACAAAAGAAGAGCCTACATCTCCTCAAATGAGTAGCTGCAGAGGGATGATAAAGTAGGCAGACTGTAGGAATTACATGTCTACAAGGCACACAACAGCTAGCAGATGTCAGGTCTGTGTGAGGCCACATTTGTCTGCAGTGAAAACACGTCGACTGAATGCTCCACTGTGCCTCAATCTGAGCTGTTGACTCTATGGTAATGATGCAAGTCAAGCTAAACATAACAAACCATTAGCGTCCTCAGCATGCCGACAACAGCGCTGGGAAGATGGCGATCTCGCTTCTCTGTGTGCGAGGCTCCGCAGACACTGGGAATGCAGATTAGTTTACAAGTACGAGCCGCCCCGGCGTAAATACATCCCGGCTAAATGACGCTATTAGAAGTTCGGCATTATAAACAGTTTCTGCTCCGGCGTCGGGTTCCTTAAACTTTGCGGTTTTTGGTTTCCGAGGTCTGGTTTTTGGTGGAGCTGCTGGTTTTCGTACAAATATGTGCTAATATTCAACAGCAAGACCCTCTTTGTGCCTGGAGTTCATCGTCAGTTTGTTAGCGAGACCTCGGAAGCGACATTTGGTTATTTATTTCGGACACAACCCTGATAATCCTCTTCAAGGGAAGAGAGAGAGAGAGAGAAGGAAGGAATGCGCTGCAGGCATGTGGAAGCAGGAAAAAGAAAGGCATGATTTCCCACCGGCCAGTCCCTGTGAGCATTCAAAGAGAAAAAACAAAGGGATGAGAGAAATGTTTGAAGGCAGAAAAGAGAAAAAAAATAGAGGGATAAAGAGGGGAGAGGAGAAAGCAGGAGTGAAGGAGAAGAAGATACGAGTGAAAGGAATGAACGGAGGTCTGGACGTGCTGTCTTTATCAGAGGAAACGAGGAAAGCTGTGTGGCAGGGACCCAAGGCCAGGGTTCATACTGTCGCTGAGCCATGACCGTGTTCTGTCTTTTCCTTCTTCCTTCCCATCATGCCTCTGTCCCTCACTTGCTCCCTCCTTTTTTTTAATTTCCCTCTCTCCAGCCTCATATCTGTCTCCATCGTCTCTGCATCACCTCACTTGACTTCCTTCCCTTTTCATTGCTCTTGTTTTTTTCCCCCTCTTTGTGCGCTTTTCCTTCGCTCAAATTACTCGCAAAACAGTTCCAAAATTGAGAACATGTTTATGTAAATCACACAAAAGCCAAAGCCATTGTGCCCGTGTGTGTGCATGTGTGTGTTGTTTGCCTCCCTCCCTCCTCTTACTCACTTTTGTCACTCTTGTGTCTTTGTTCACTGAAGTTAAACTTTGCTGCCTTTGAAAGTCTGGTGGAAGGCAGACAATGTCCGCCACAGGCATTTTCTCAACCTTTTTTCAACCTCGCTCACAAACACACACGTTCCCTGACAGCTTTGCTGTTTTGGAGGGGTGGGGTGATTGATTAGTCTCTATGGAGACGATACGTCTTGTAATGAACAAGAGAAAGCTGGCATGTTAATTTGTGTAGTGTGGGAGGCTTAATTGTGCTTGTGTGTGTGTGTGTGTGTGTGTGTGTGTGTGCTTGGCTGTTCCTGATGCATGCGTCTATATGTTGCTGTGTGCATCTTCCTGTGAGAGGAATTGCTTTTCTTTCATCTTTTTATTGTTTTCATGTGAATCCCCTCTGTGTGCATGCGTGTCCAGGATTTATGCTCGTCCTTGTAGCTGTGTGTCATTTTTTTTTATATGTTCTCGTGTGTTTCAGGCACGTTTGCATATAAAAGCACTGCAGTGGATGGAAAAAAAAAAAATGGGGAAAAAGTCAATAGTTGTTCCACTTTTTAGGCGGAAGACGGAAAATTATTTGTGGTGATCCAATGAAAATGCAACAAAATGCAATCGGAAAGGACGACAAATAAATAATAATCTACATAAAGGGTTTATTTAAGGGTAATACTCACGTAACAATAGTGGACGGTATTGATCATTAAACCCCTGAACCTGCTGGAGGGTTTTAGGGTTGCACGATTTATCAGAGCCAGAAATGGTAAAAATTCTTTTTTTTTGTTGTTTTTAATTTTTATTTCATTCCGACCTGCTGCATATGTGTACTGATTTTTGTCATTGTTAGTCAAACGTAGCCCCGATGGGATGAAGTCTTGTCGAGGGTGTAGTTGAGCCGTGTTGCATTTTAGAGCTTGTAGCTGGAAATGTTTTTGTTTGTCCAGACCTTCTCCATATGCCTACCAAATTTCATAGCTCTAGGCCAAACGTGCGTCCGGCAGAACTTTGTTGAAATTTTCATTGGGGCACTGTGGAGCTGTTTTAGCAGTGACATGTCCAAGTCCCTTAAAATATCAAATTTTTCGCCAGTCCTGGTGCGTGTGGTGATTTTGTTGAGTTTTGGGGCATGTTTAGGCCCTCACAAATGTGTTTCTTTTCGTGGGAAAATAAGAAAAATAAAGAATAATAAACCCAAGGGTTACAATCGGGTCCTTGCACTGTTAGTGCTCGGACCCTAATAAAAATTAAATAAATATCTATAGTATTATAAAGGCACATTTTTTCCCCAGTAGGTGTTTCTGTGGAGACTTGGAAACAATCTCTACATTGTAAATAATCAAAATCTTTCTGACGTATGGCATTTTTAGGTTCTCTCTCCTTGTCTGTGAAGATTCTCAGTCATCCAGGTCATGGTTATTCTAAGAGTTTAATCGTAACAACTGGACTTGCTTGAGTTCTTTGAAGACGTTCCACCTCTCATCCAAGAGGCTTCATCAGTTCTGACTGACTAGTTGGGAGTTCCACATACTTATATTCTTTAGGAGCCATTAACACTTGAGTTTCAGGTTTAACTGGGGGTTTGTTGCTCCGCCCCCTCATTATGCGAGTCGTTAGGACTCCTTCTCTCTCCTGCTAGCTGTGGATGTGCTATTTCCACAGTGATGCAGGTAAAACATGAGCCCACAGTGAGCTGCTTGGGAATCAGAAAGTTAATTTAGACGAGAAATCCAGTTTGATTTTGTGCTAAAGTTACTGAAAACTAGAGCAGCGCCCACTGTCAGAGCATGACATCATCACATGAGGTTGGACTTGAAGGATGTTGCTTAGCAAGAGTTGTGACGTTAAGCCAGGAGAAGACCCCAAAAACAACCACCGCTCATCCAATCCTCTTCAAACTTACCACTGCACCACCTCAGGTCCGTAACAATACGCCCGCCACGTGTGAAGCAGGTTGGCTGAAAGGTTGTTGAGCAACGAGAAGGACGGACAGCCTCAGATTCCTTCCTTTATTAGTGGATTCATGCATCCTTCAGTGTGTGGTTTTCTCTACGCGTGTGCGTTTCGGCGTATGAAAGCACACGTGTTTCGTCTCCTCTCAGATACGTGTGGACCTGAAGCCGCGTGTGTCACAACGCATGCGGGGTTACCACGGCAACACAGATGCTGTTGATTATCTCTGTTACACATGTCAGAGTCGGAGGAATCTCTCCCCGACGCGTACGTAGCCGGCGCATGCTTTTAATGACATGCCTATTACACGCGCTCCCGCACACACACGCATGCAAGCGCATTCATAAATCAGCCGTGACATATCAACACATCAGCGTGGCGATGAGCCCATATAACCAGACCCCTTTGATTATGATATGCTAATCTGACCTATAATTTACTTTCCCATCATCCACGTGTTCATCCGCCGCTCCCTGTTTGTTCCGGCTCCATTCGAGTCGCACATCGTATTGGCTTGTCTCTTGTTAGAAACTACATTGGCAAAGCGGGGAGAAATCAATATTTCAAACATTAGCAAACAACTGTTCATCCATTCAGACCAGGCTGAGATACTTAATAGCTCGATCTGACATCATGTACTATGAAATAATCAAAGGCTGTAATGGAGGGGAACGCACCGATCACAGAGGCCTTAACTGCAGCAGGATTTGGGTTTTTTTTTTTAGTCCCTGATGAAATACGAACACCACTGTCAGCACTTGTCTGTCAGTTTTTTTGGGGGAAAAAATTCCCCAAAAAAGAAATGCAAGTTGAGGAAAGTGAAGGAAATTTTCCCAGTGACATCTAATAATTTCATTCCATTTCTCACTAAATCTGCACTGGCTTGGCTTCACTCCAGCGCCATAAAACGTCGACTAAGTGCTGGGCGAGATTGAAAGCCTCCTCCTTCTTTAAGAATTAATGTTAGTTTAACGAGAAAGGGGATTTAGAATGTGTTAATGGTTGAGTTAATGGCTTTCTCTCCTTCTGTCCCCCCCCCACTTCTTTCTACACCACAGCCTTTGCAGATAGACGATAACTTCTGCGGCCAGGACTTCAACCAGCCTCTAGGGGGCACCACGGCCATCGAGGGCATCCCGCTCTACGTGGACAAGGACGACGGCATGACCTCCGTGGCGGCCTACGACTACCGCGGGCACACCGTCGCGTTCGCCGGCACTCGCAGCGGACGCATGAGGAAGGTAGGAAACCCGGAGCGTTGTGGTGTGAAAACCTCCCCCGCTTCTTTTTTTTCTTTTCCTGATGACTCACGGATGTGCTAACTTCGAGAACTCCTCGAACGGAGCAGAATTCAATAATCGTTGGGATCTCTTTTTCAAATCCCGTCAGTGAGAAACATCAAAAAGTAAAGAGATAGCGCTGTTTTGCAGACACGGAAATTTCACCTGACAGTCGTGTTGTTTCGATGATAGCTGACAGCAAACTAATAAATTGTGACTAAAATGGGGATTCAAATGCTCATGCTCGTGTGTGTGTGTATGTGTGTGTGTGTGTGTGTGTGCGTCATGCTCTGCAGAAAGCCATTTTCACTTTGAAGCAATTTTGTGTCATTTTATGATGTATTTTCAATGGTCATTGGTTTTGGCATCGCTGACAAATGGTTTTGTCATCAGAACTCATTGCAGATATCAGCTTTGAATGTGCGTGCGTATGCTCTGTGTGTGTGTGTGTGTGTGTGTGTGTGTATCTTTAATGGCATTTTGTGTTTGTTTTGTCTTGAAATGGCTTTTTGCTGCTTTGCCGCTGTCATCGAACGCTTGTGAAACATAGCAAATAAGACACATATACACTTGGAGAGAGAAAAAAAAAGGTCGGCTCTGGAGAGATGTGAGTTTTCTCCTACAGGCCGTGTGTGTGTGTGTGTGTTGTGTGTGTGGAGTGGAGTGGAGCTCATGCTGCTAGACAAACTGGAGCTGTGTGGGTTTTATCTTGCTGAGTGTTGTTTTGTGGTCTAGTCACAGGATTGCCGGTGAGGAGTGTGTCTGAGTGGCTATAAGGTGGGATGATTTTTTTCTTTTTTTTCTTTTATGCGTCTCCTGATTACCTTAAGTGAGAAAACCCCATGTTTTTGTGTTTATTTGCAACGGACGCCTCGGAAAAAAAAATCTGCCCTCAATCAGCGGTAAAGCGGTAATTTCCCCATTATGTTCGGCACACGCGCAGCATGCGGCGGCGTTTTGCGCGTGCGCCCGATGGGTTTGCAATATGTGCGCGCTCCCCCGTGTTGAGTAGACTGCATGGCGCGCGTGCCAATCAGCTGCTCCTTCATCCGAGATCCGACTGAGCCGCCTCTGTAGTTTTTCTTTCTTTTCTCCGCCAGCTTCTCCTCAGCAGGACACCTCCGTAAGAGTGCGTCTGTGTCACCAATACTCCCGAGACCGAATAAAACAGTCACCAGAGGATAAAAAATAATTGAATGAATACATAATGCAAAAACAAAATAAAACGAAACGTGTTACACTCGCTATCTGCTGCGTTTAACTTTGAATTTTTTCTTCGCGAGAATGTTCCCCAGAGATTTTGTAGGAGTACTTTCAAATAAACTATCATTTTGTAGGCGCTGATGTCTTTTCTTTCACGCGGTTATGTCTTTGTGTGAAGTGGCTGTGTTTACATCTTACTCTCTGTTACCTTCCATTAAACTCGGTTTAAATGATTTAAATCTTCAGCTTGCCTGTGGAAGAGCACTGATTGCTTTTACGCTGGTGATATGCACACACACACACACACACACATGCAGACGCTCCTCACACAGCTTCCTGCCACTCGGGTTTTGCCAAGTCGACTGAAACCTGGCCCACTAGTCCTTGCGTCTGACCCCTGCACTGTGTCTGTGTGCGCAGACGGATGATTTGTGTCGAGTGTGGGGGTCAGCAGATCCTGCATGATATCCCGCCGATCGGAATCCCATTTCCCCTCAGCTGGCTGCGTCTTCCTGTGCTCGGGGATGGATGGAGGGATGGAGGGAGGGAAGGTGAACACGGAGGTGGAGTCTGCCGGCGTCCTCGCGCAGATCAATGCAGATGCTGCAGTGAGATGCAGCGCGAGCGGCGGGGAAATGGCAAAGACCGGGATGACAATTACAAATAAATAAAGAGTAATTCAAGCTGGAGCCGGCTTATAAAGCGTTTCCATTTTCTGCCCGCCTGCTAAGTCTTTTCCTCTGACGCGGGAGGTGATTAGTTTTTTTTTTTTTTAGCTTCCGAAAGAGGTCTTTTCAAATAAATTGGAGAACAACTGTTAAATGGCCGAACTTGATTTGTACAAAATAAAATTTGGAGGGAGTAAGAGGGGGAATGGAGTCGGGATTAGAAACAAGCAGGGGGAAGAAAGCGAGGCTGAGGCAGATGGAGAGAGATGGTTACAGGCTGTGTGGTTTTTATTGCTATTCATTGGAAGTTAAACTGTGCTCCTTGGCCTAATGAAATGTAAAGCTGCAGCGTATTGATGTCTGCGCGCACACAGGCTCTCGTGCTCATTAGGATTCCTACAATGTGACTGTTGCTAAATGTGTGTTTGCCTGCATGGACATGTCTCGGCTGCTAGACTCTCTGTATTGATTGATCCATGAATATATAATCACCAGTGTAGATCTTATAAATCTGGGCAGTCCATTGGATGAGTGTTGGTGTCTTTGTCCTTGTTTGTGTGTGTGAGAGAGAGAAAGAGCTGTGACGTAAGCTTGAGTAAACTTTTACATCAGCATGACTAATCACAGTGACTGACTAAGCCGTGGCATGCATGTGCAACGTACCCACTTACCGTCCATGGCCCAATGACCGACGTTCATTTAATTAGTTGACCTTGTCGACGGAATTTCTTTGAGTTATTTGAAATTAGAACACTATTGATAATTGATGGCGGAGGACAGCTGATTAAGGACTCGTGTCAGAGTAAAGGGTCGCCGCGTGATTTAATGGCGACCATTAGAATATGGTCGCACTGAAAAAAAGCAGACATTGATGAAATACTGATGTGTTGAAGGGATGTAGGTATGTGATATACAGATGATGGATGTACGACGTGGGCTGAAGGACGTACAGGTGGATGTTGGATGTGAATGCACGAGGAAAACCTCAGAGCAGGGGTCTCGAACTCCGGTCCTCGAGGGCCACAATCCTGCAAGTTTTAGATGTTTCCCTCTTCCAACACACCTGATTCAAATGATCAGCTCATCATCAAGTTCTGCAGAAGCCTGATAACGATCCTGATCATTTGAATCAGGTGTGTTTGAAGAAGGAAACATCTAAAACTTGCAGGATTGCGGCCCTCGAGGACCGGAGTTCGAGACCCCTGCCTTAGAGCCAAGTTCCAACATGAGCAACTCATTGCAATACAATGTTCTCTTGGAAAACATGGGATATGTAGACGTATCACAATGCACCACATCTGCTCAGGAACAGCTCAAAGAAACATGACAAAGAACCCAAAGCATTGACCTGGCCTCCAAACTCAGACACCTCCAGATGCCCCACATCCACAGACCAACAGCTATTTATGTGGCACTAGGGGCATCTAAACCATATCAGACAGGTGTTTTTATGTAAAAGACGTTACGCTCCTTTCAAATGGATTTTACTCATTTTTGACATCTAAAAAAAATACCGGGACTGCTTTATAAGGAATATAACTCTCAGCGAACGGTGGCCAGTGGTGACGGTGCTAAATGTAATGAAATAAAACACAGTGTGACAATATCTCAAGAATAAAGCAGTCTGCAAGCGCTGAATGGCAGCAAAACCACACCTCGAGCTCCACTTAGCACGTTTAAAAGCATTTCGTCTCATAACGCTCCGCAGCAGATGGAGTTTTCTCAGTTCTCGTGGACTTCTGACAAGTGAGGAAGGACTATCAGGAAAATGCTAGAGGCTGAACTTTTCTGTTTGTGTTTTTTGGGAGTAAAGTCTGGTTACAGTAGACGGCATTACACAAGACCGATAAAACCAAAACCCCTGATTATGGTAAACTGAGCAACAGTTGGTTCTAATGCTTATCAAGTCTTCACCGGTAGAAGAAACCCTTTTTTTATGCGACCAGTGTGGGTAACTTTCTTTTATACCTCTTGCTATTTAGGCATCATGCTTTGGATCAGGTAACATCTGGCGCCAATGTTTCTGAAGTCATGAACTCTTAGCATTGATATTGTTAATATGAGTGAATGGTGCCTAATGAAGAGCATGAGTTAAAAGATTTGGATGATGTGGTCGTATACTGACGGACGCACCAGAATGCACCATACATCAGGTTGCAAGATGATTAATAGGAGACGTATAATGTGAAATGAAACTGGTACAGTAGGATGTAGGATGCAGGATACAGAGTAGGATGTGGGTTTTGGCTGAAGGAGATCGCCTGATGGAGCCTTCTCTGACACTATTACGACAGAATAGCATGGCTGTCTACCTATTTAAGTCTCATGACTGCCAGCTAGCAGCATACAGTGCATACACAGTACACTATTGTTCTTTGCTCAGTACTTCAAAGTCACACATGATTGCATTTTTCTTCTAAACGCCACAGTGCATCACTTTGCGGGGAGACAAGGTGTAGGTGGGGTACGGAGTTTTTTTAACAGCATGAAATTGTACTATAGGGCCGCCTTGCCAGAAACATCCTAAAAAACCCTCTTCAGATCTCAATAAAAAACCTGGAAATCCTTTCATTCCCCTCATTTCGTCTCCTCTTTTTTGTCTACCTGGGAGAACAAGGTGCTCTCGCCGCATCAGGAGAGATGAAAAGAAACTCTCAACAGCCTGAAGTATTTCCAGATTTCAGAAACAAAAACAGGCGAGCAAGACAGACGGAGAGAGAGAGAGAGAGGCAGAGGCAGGTTTACTCACAGCGGTGCATAGGTGTGCGAATGTGTCTGTGCGTGCGGTGGGTGAAAGGGGGTATGGTTTCATGTCATTTCATCATTTCCCTGCTAGCAGCAAATCCAATTACTTTTCGTTTTCCTTTCTATCTTGGAAGATAGCCTGAGTGACAGGACTGATTGGAGTACAGCGCTACCGAGGTAACTGTGCCAACCGGTTGATTGACACAACACTGGCACTTCGGCGCCTTCAGACGGGGAGACAAGTGAGACTGGTTAGACTTCGGGGCATCTCAGAGCAGGTGAGGTGGACCAGAAGTTCACCTGTCCTGCTACCAGCGATTGTACATCCTTCCCACTCAGAGATGA